AGCTAGACTCAAGGGGACCCCTATGAAAAATTTTAAGCTATTTTTTTTCATAGGTCCCAGCACCCGGTATTTTGCACTGTAACTTCCAGTTACCTCAGTCTGCCAGAAATCAGATATTGTCTCCTAAACTTAGCAAGTCTGCCATGCTCTGCTTGGGACCCCTATCCTCCTATGGTCTGCAGTATGCCTCCACACAGAAGGCAAGCATGATTGTAGAAATTGTTTCTCTTCTCTCGGATCAGAATCCTCCTGCATGCATTGAACAATGACTGAAAAGAGCTGTTGCATTCCCCCACCCCACCCCCTGTTTTCTAATTATCTATTTGGGGAAGGTAAATCAAATCTTTGTTACTTCCTCGTGGATGGAAGTAGACCTTCTCAAACAAATCTTTTTATAGTCAATTTGTTTGAATCAGTATCAAAAGAAGGATCACATATTATATATGGAGGTTTTGTCCCTAAAAATCTCTTTTCTGTAACTCATCCCTTCTCCTTTTTTTTTTCCATGCCATTGATTTCTTAGACACACTGGGGAGTTGTACTGGGAAATTCTGGATTTGGCTGATTTCTTCCTTGTGTTGTCATTTAACTTGTCCCTCTACTCCTGAAGATCTGTAGTTAGATATAGAGGTTCAATAACTTACATGAAATTCTTTAGGCTATGTACTTCATAGGTGCTGTGTACACTCCTAATGCAGTACAGCATGGGGCAAACTTTTGGTACTGCAGAGATTGATCATTGAGTTCAGATATGACCAATCCAATCCCTATTATAAATTCTACAAATCAAAATTCTCGTTTAACTAATAGTTTTGGCATTTATTTGTGATATTTAACATTACTTCATTAGGATTATAAATCATAATTTTAAAATTCTATCATCTGTTATGGATTTCATTAGCTAGAACTATATAGCAGCTGCTTCTCAATGAAATTTCTTAATGTTCTGACATTTTAAGGAGTATCAAGTTGGAATTTTGCAAGGGGTATTCACAGGAAAAGACAAATATGGTGTTATATAAACTAAACCATTGTTTTTGAATTTTAATAAGTTAGGACTGTTCCAAGTATTCAAAGGAAATCACATAATTTTTCTGTTTCTACTTGTCATCACCTAGCATCTTTGCAGATGATACTGGGGGCAATACTGAACCACAGTATCATATTTTAAAACTCTCTGTAAAAGTAGAAAAATAATGGTTCTTCAAACTGGAAGTCCCCCTGTTTTTATTGATGAGAAAAATGAAGCTCAGAGAGGTTAAGTGAAGTAGAATAAAGTACTGGTGAATGCAAAGGCTCTGATATCATTATAGACTTGTTTATTATGACTCCATAATTGACTACCTGTGTGACCTTAGGACATTACTTAACCTCTTAAGTCTTAAGTTTTCTCATTTGGGTTACATGATGGCTAAATGGAGTAAGACATGATAAGCTTCTAATGCAGCCTTGAAATATCTTAGCCTCTTATAACAGCAAAGTTATTACTTAAAATGTATTTAATAGATAGCTATACAGTGTCCTGTTCCTGGAACTATGCTACATACCAGATACAATTTTTGTGGAATGCAGAATAATGGTCCCTCCAAAGACATCCACATCCTAACCTTCAGAACCTGTGAATATGTTACCTTAAAGGGCAAAGGAGACTTTGCTGCTGTCAGAGTTTAGGCTCTTAAGACAAGGAGATTATCCAGGTGGACTCCGTGTAGGCACAAGTATCCTTTATCACTGCAAGAGGGAGGTAGGAGAGCCAGATTCCAGAGGGAGATGTGATGATGGAAGCAGAGGTTGGAGTGATGTGGTCATGTGCAAAACGATTGTGGCAGCTTTCAGAAGCTGGAAAAGGCAAGGAACAGATCCTCCCCTAGAGCCTCCAGCAGGAACACTGCTTTACTGACACCATGATTTTAGCCCTGTAAGACCTATTTCTGACCCTTGACCTCCAGAAATGTAAATAGTAGATTTGTGTTTCTTTAAGCCACCAAGTCTTCAGTTATTTGTGCAGCAGTGATAGGAAATGACCATGATTTTAAAGAAGACATAGTCCCCATCTTCAAGGACACTGTTATTACTTCCTAACCATTCTCAATTGGCCTGTGTTAATCCTTCTCAATTCAGTGGTCTTTGTGCTACCTTAGTATTTCCCAGGAATTGAACCATCACCATCATGCCTTTTATTATAGCTTCATATCCCCTGACACCAACCACACTTGTAACTCTGAGGGTTAGCATAAGGTTACTTACCATGCTGTTATTGGCTTCAGCCTCTTCTCAGCAAATATGCTGGTCAAAATCACAAGTTTGATATACTAATTATACTTTCTGAATATGCATTAAGATATGTCTATATCCACTAAAGTTATTCTCCGTAACCCCCACCCTGAAATTATATTGCAAACTATCAGAGATGCTCATCAGTATTTTGGCACACCAAGCCATACTCTATTCAGCACTTAGGAATTTCTTATCTTGGAGCTTTTTGTTAGGAACTGTAGCTCACTTCAATGAGGTGTGGGTTAACTAGCATGACTACTAACCAGCAGAGCAGCAATGTTGTAAAGATGCCAGGAACTCGGTTCCTTGCTGATCTATGATGTTATTAGGCATTGCTCTTTAATAAACTCTCCTGAGAGCTTGTAGATATGTGTAATTTGGAAAAGGAGCCTAGTGCCTTGAACTGTTTTGAACACTCCCTCACTTGGGCAGCCCCTCTCAGTCACTGCTTGCTAATTCTTTTCTTGAATGAAGAACATTAAGAAAAAAAAAAACTTAAAAAAGAGATCTTATGTCAGCATTGAAACTCCTGGAATTTGGTGTTGATTTAGGTAAACTTGCCAAATTCTTGCATGTCCTAAATAAAACGATGAGCTAGAGAGACTGGATAAGACACAGCCCAGTTGAATACATGACACAAATCCTCTCCAAATTTCCTGCATTTATAGGAGTGAGTTGGAACCGCATGCAGAAGGCTATATAGATTGCAGCTTCAGCAATTACACAGCTGATCAGACCAAGCCTAACTGAATTTGGCATGGCTTTGAGGGCTGTGGTTTTCTTATTTTTTTCCCTTCCTTTCGGGTAAGACATTCTCAGACAGTCTCTCAACTGTATATGCCACACTTACTTTTCCCCCTCAGGGACACGGGCCTCTCTTCTCCCTTGGCCCTAATGTCTTCCGTAGGGACTGCAGCAGTGAGGAGGACATTATCTGGCCCCATCCTGCCCCTCTTAGTCTAGTTTAGCAGAAAGAAAACAAGAACAGAGAACCTGGATTAAATGCCTAGCTGGGGCACATATGCACAGTGTCACCTTTAACAAAATCCCAAACTTTTGTGAGTCTTTTTCTTTATCTATAAAATGGCAATGATAACCTAAAATGTTAGTAATTCAAATAAAATTATGCTCTGAACAAAGGACAAATTTTTGTGAAAGCAATTTGTAAACTAATGTCTCTCTTTGCTCTATAGTTGCCTTTAAACACACTGTCCTCCGGCATCTCTTTAGACAAACATCCTAATTAGGAATTCTTTCATTCTCACAGATGTAGGGTAGAGTGGGGTATGTAGTGAGGTCCAGCTTGAAACCCTTAAATATTTTCACATGTTCATTGAATCACCATCATCTGGCCACTGCTTACCTCTATAACTTTATTTCCTTTTGGCTTATATCTTTTTAGCCACACTGGCTTCTGATATTGTTAACATCATTTCCATTTCATAGCCTTTACAGTACATGCCTGCTTTGACTAGAAGTCTCTTCCTACTTCACAGCTGGCTCCTTGCTCCCTCAGGACTGGGCTTACACTGCACCTTCTCAGAGACCCTTAGTGCTTTAACTAAAGGGATTGTCTTGCTTCATAATTCTTTATCACAGTAGTCTATATTTTCTTCATATTGTTGATCATAAACTGTAATTAATCTGCATGTCAATTTGGTGGCCAGTTTACTGTGTGTTGTCAATAAAATGTAGGCTCCATGAGGGCAGGCACCATTTTTTTCCTCTTTAGATGTAAAGAATAAAACTCAACAAGGTAGTCATTCATTCTGGCAAAGCATGTTGGTGCTTTGTTTAGGGCTGTAAGGCTGTGGTGGGGGTCAGGTGAGCATTCCCCTGGGCTTCTGTTCAGAAGGATGCAGTCCTCTAGGCAATAAGGCTAATACTTCCTTCTCCCTCAGTACCTTCAGCATCTAGCATACAGCCTGGCACATGGTTGGGCCTTAGTATGTTTTGGTTTGGAAAACCTGTGTTTTTTGTGTGAAACCTGTCTATTTTCTGAAACGGACTTGTGGGTGGACACACGGCTGCTCGTGATCCAAGAGAGCTGGTAGCTCATGTTGGCCTCTCTACCCACCTCAGCATCTCAACCTTTGATGACATGACATTCCTGGAAATGCCTTCCTCTTCTCCTTCCCCTCACCCACCAGCTTGTACCAACCAAATCCCTCTGAGTTTGTTAACAAAAAGTAGGGGCTTTCCCATTTCTATACTACTTGTTAAAGGAAACACTTATGAGAACTTGTTAAAAATAAAAATAATTGATAACACTCATAATAGGATAAATTAAAACAGAGCATTAAAATAGGCATTAGGCACTATTCCAAGAGTTTTGCATATTAGTATTTGCATATTAACTCCTATGATCCTTACAATAACTCCATGAGGTAGGTTACAATTATTTCTTCCATTTAATAGTTGAGGAAAGTGAGATATTGAAGGGCTGAGGAACTTGTCAGTGACACAGCTGGGACATGAGCCTGGTCAGTCTGGTTCAAAGGACTCAGCTTAGCTGCTCAGCTGTCAACATTGGAATCCTTAACCACAGATCTTCGCAGCCTTTCATTAGCCCAAATGGCAGAGTCTCTAATTAATTGTTTAATGTTTTATTATGTAAGTAATACATGAAATAAATTCTTCTGTAAAGCAGTTAATGCATCCACATAAAGTAAAAGTCCCACTTTGACCTCCTTTCATAACTTGACTGCTTCTCTCTTTTCCAGGGGTAGCCATTATACCCAATTCTGTGTATGTCCTTCCACCCACTGAGGCTCCTGCCTAACATGAGCCAACCTTCTCACACACAACTACAAAGACTATCTCTCTGTCCTGGAGGCAGCAAACTGCAGTCCAGCTAGTGCATGCATGCAGAGGTAAGTCACAATGCCAAGGCCCTTGGCAGCCACTGTCTCCGATGATGTTTGTCCCTGAGTCCAAACTATTTGACAAATGATTAGCTAAATGATCAATTTAGATACCATATATAAATAGAAAAGAATAAGGCAGAAACATTAAGTATATTGTCAATCTTTGTATACTTGAGCAGCATACACAAACTTACAGGTGGTTGTTAAACACCCTATTTCTATAACTGGTTATAAGGCTTTGGCTGGTATTTTGAGTTTAAAGGAAATTATACACTAAAATAACATTCTGGAAGGCAGTCCTTGGAAACTTTTCAGGTCTGTAATGAAAATATTAAGGAATCAATTGCTTGATCAAGGAGCTAACTTATTTTCTTTCAAAGTACTTTCATGTCTTCCTGGAAATTAACTTGTTTTACCTTAGCCTCCCTTGGGAAGTACTTTAATTTGAATCCTAAAGTCATCATTTTGTCTAGGTTAATAGACTGGAGAGTCACTAATCTTTTTATTATCTTAGGACCGGATCAACAAAACCTCGGTGATTGCCCCACGGTGTGTGTGGTCATTTCCAAGCCTCACTCAGAAAGAAGGCAGAACCAAGCTGACACAGGAGGTTCTCCCTCCCCTGATATGGGGGTAGACTTAAGAAGTTGAACTCCATGTCCGTGGGGCTAATAAATCAAAGTTGGGAATGGGATGAGCATTTAATAAAGACACAGAATCCAAATGGTGATGACTTCCTTTCCAATTATAAATGAAAACCTGGGAGAATGACTCAAGCTGGCTGTATATATACAGCTGTCTGGAATTGTTTTATTAATTACCTATAGACACTTGAATATGATACCATATATTAGTAATATTAGTATATGTAAAATACATATGTAAAGAAGCAGTTTATAAGATACAACCTTGGACTTAAAAATATGTATAATCCAATAGTCTATGGAATCTGCAACTTAGCCAAAAAGGTGAAGATAGCACTTGAATATAATTTTTAAACATTTACTGAGCTCATTTTCCATTCTGATCATGAACTGTTTATATACACAAAATAACATGTTACAACATGATTACACAAAAAACTCCCAGAGTGTCCCCACAACACAGATGTTGCCACATAACTCTGTAATGAAGGGTAATATTGTAGGATAAAGTCTTGGTGAAAGTATTCTTGTTTGTTTTCTCATGAGGACAGAATAACTATGGAATGTATATAACGTTATTATAAGACCACATGTGCTGCAGTGACTTGGCACAAGGCAGCTGGCTTACAGGTGCTCTGGCAAGTCATACCGGGAAGGCTTTTTTCCTTTTGTCTTTCTAATAACATGTGCATGAAATTATTTTAATGTGTTTTTTGTGCTGGGGTAGATACTGTAAGTATTCCCTTTGGGCTGAGCAGTTTGTTTTTGAATGGGGTTTTCGGAAACAGGTGACAGTCTTTCTTTCTTAAGAGGATTCTTTGTTATGAATTGTATTAGGGGCTGTTAGCTGGAGGAGCTCTCTTTTCATCTCTGTCAAAATTGAGGAAAAGAAACTTAATGACAAAATGAACCAAAAAATTACCTTAGAAAAGACAGCTTCAGCAATGCAGCTCTAGAAGGATTTCAGGCCAAGGCAAGAGGGTCATAAACGATTAGCAAAAACTTTTATAAGCAAAGAGGCAATTATGCACATTCTTAATAGCCTTTATGCAGAAGTGTCCCAATGTTTGTTTTTGAATCAGATGGTCACGGCTTTTACTGCAGGAATGCAATCAGCCTGTAGGGAAGAGGACAGCCTGTACGATTCAGCCCAAGCAGAGCTTCAGATGTATGAGAAGGCATTTGCCTTACCTAGATGCTGCACTGTTCTGGGGGGATGAGTCTGCTTGGAACTTGGCCATCTAAGGGCTGTTCTTTTAGCATGTGCAATGAAGAGAGGAGGGAGGAAAAAAATAGCCACCCATACAACCGAGCTGAAATAAAACTGTTCTTCATTAGATTCTGAGCATTCCTCCATTGTGCATTCTCGCTGGTTGATGTAAAGTTGTTTGGGTGTGGGAAGCCATACCATGAAGCACAGGAAATAGCTTAAATCTTTGGAAATGTTTTTAAGGTTAAATAAATGGGGAAATGACTATAGTTAAAGTTGCCGACCACTTTAAAAGTAATTTTTACTGGCAGGTATTTGTTAATTGTCAGTGTTTCTCTGAAAACATCCACAACCGAGTTATACTGGTATAGCCTGCCCCCTGGGTACAGGAGATGCTTTTTAGTGAGGCTGTGGATGTCCACTGATTTCTCTCAGACTTGACTCAGACTTAGGCAATCTTCTGGGAGTCAGTAAGTTAAGTATGGTTGACTGATCTGATAGTGTGACAGGGATTTCTTTATAGATGATGACAAGCAGATGAGATTTTAGGGGTTTTGCCTTCAGTAAAGCCAACAAACACATGTCTAAGCTGCTTTGATGGAAATGTTACACCTGTTTCGTCAACTGTTCGGATATGATGGCTGCAAGGAAATTACGGGTTGTTGGTTTTTATGACAAAATATGAATTCAATTCAAGACAGAAAGTGAAAACTCATTGGCTAAAAATGCTTGAAAAGTTGTACTATTCTCTGAGACAGAGTAGCCAACATGATTATTTGGCCTAAAAGCAGCAGTTTATATGTGATCCTCATGACCACCAACTGTTGATGGTGGAGATCTGGGAAAACCAGGCTTCTTGACTTCTTGTTTCTCTTCCATTTCTGTAATTTCCTCCCACTTAACTGCTTGATCTCCAAAGAATAAGGCAGGGAAGGTAAAAGGAATTAATTTTAACACCCTTTTGTTATAGGTCAGAGTCTTAACCATATGTCATTATTATGGTTTACATATCATATAATATTATAACTATGTTAGTGTTTCTGTTAGTTCCTCCAGTCTATTAATTCCTTAAGGCACTATATCATGTTCAAATTTCTATTCCCAGCACCTAGAAGATTGCTTATAAATAGCAGGCTCTTAATGAATGATTGTTGAATAAGTAAATAAATGATAAAAGGTCAGCATAATATTTAGATAATGGGCAGGTGGTTATGTCATCCTATTACTATGTCTAATTATGCTTTAACAAAACAGTTTTGGATATAATTAACATATCATAAAATTTACTTTTTCAAAAATGTAAAATTCAGTGGGTTTTAGTATATTCAGTGTTGTGCAACTTCCACCACTCTCTAATTTTAGAAAATTTTCATCATCTCAAAAAGAAACTCTGTGATCATTAGTGTTCATTTTCCATATGCTCCTGCCCTCAGGCCCTTGCAACCACTAGTTTACTTTTTTGTCTCTATGCATTTGCCTATTATGGATATTTCATAAAATTAGAATCACGTGATATGTGGCCTTTGGTGTCTGATTCCTAACAGTCAGTATGTTTTCAGGGTTTATCCATATTGTACCATGAATCAATACTTCATTCCTTTTTATGGCTGAAAAATATACCATTGTATAGATATACCAAACTGTGAATCTGTTCATTCATCAATTCATGGACATTCTGGTTGTTTCCACTTTGTGTCTATTATGGATAATGCTGCTATAAACATTCATGTATAAGTTTTTTGTGGGCATATGTTTTCAGTTCTTAGGTATATATCTAAGAATAGAATTACTGGTATAAAATGTAATACGTTCCTTAATTTTTGAGGAACTCCAAAACGGCCTTCTAAAGTAGCTGCATTGTTTCACAGTCCCACAGTGCATAAAAGTTTGATTTTTTCCACATCCTCATCAACACTTGTTATTATCTGTCTTTTTTTTTTTTAATTTTAGCCATCCTAGTGTGTGTGAAGTGTTTTCTCATTGTGGCTTTGATTTATATTTCCCTGGTCACTAATGATATTGTGCACTTTTTCATGTACTTATTGGATATTTATATACCTTCTTTGGAGAAATGTTTATATGAATCCTTTTGCCTATTTTAGTTTTTTAATTTTTAATTATTTTTTACTGTGGCACATATAATGCACAAATCTCAGTATATAGCTCAATGAATTTTGACGTGTGTATACTCCTGTAACCATCACCCAGATCAAGATATCAAGCACATTCTCACTATTTTTTTCCCCTTCACCTATTTCACCCAGCCCTCCACTCCCATTCCTTATGGCAACCACTAGTCTGAGTCTATTTGTTTTGCTTGTTTGTTTATTTTGTTTTTGAGGTTCCACATAAAAGCAAAATCATACAGTACTTGTCTTTCTCTGACTTATTTCACTTAGCATAATACTCTCTGGTCCATCTGTGTTGTGACACATGGCAAGATGTCATTCATTTATGGTTGGGTAATATTCCCTTGTATATACATGCTACATCTCCTTTATCCATTCATCTATTTATGCTTTGCCCATTTTTAAACTGAGTTATTGTTCCTTTGTTTAGTCCTAAGATTTGTTTATGTATTCTTAATACAAATCCTTATCTGATATATTATTTTAAAATATTTTTTCCCAGTCTATAGGTTTATTTTTTACTTTCTTGATAGCATCCTTTGAAGCACAGAAGTTTTTTATTTTGATGAAGTCCAGTGTATCTAGGTTTTCCTTTGGTTGTTTATGCTTTAGTTGTCATATCTAAGAAACTACTGCCTAATTCAAGGTCACAAAGATTGCACCTATCTTTTGTTCTAAGACTTGTATAGTTTTATCTGTTAGATTTAGTTCTATAATCCATTTTGAGTTAATATCGTATTTGGTATGAGGTAGGGGTCTAACTTAATTCTTTTACACATGGTTATCCACTTGTTTAAGTATGCTTTTAGCACAAAGTGAATATATCAGCAGAAGTTGAATGGTGTTTGAGAACATAATAAAACCTCAATATTTCAGATGGCACTACACTAAAAGCTAATGATAATTTGGATATTGGCTTTTAGTGTTAGTTACAAAGAAAGGCTTTACCAAACAAATTATTAATAGGAGAATTTCAGAGAGGAATGTTATTACACTTAGAAAATTCTTCTGAATATCCATAAACTGCATCCAGCCACTCTCAAAAGTTATTTATAATATTTATATTGCTTTCTTTTAAAAAAAATCATTGAACACTTGGGTTAGTTGGGCTCTCCAAGTGGCAAAGAACAGACATGTTCATCATTAACCTTAATTAAAAAGGAGTTTATTGGAATGAATCTGTAAAGCTATCAGAATCTAAGTCTGGTGCCCACATCCTTAAGTGGGGTCTCTGTTATTTAGTTCTAGTCTGAGAAAGAATATAATATAATAAGATATAAAGCCATGTGGGAAGGAGATTAGCACCCCATGGCAGAATGTTCTTTTCCTTTGGATAATTCATCCTGAGACCAGAGTGCCTTAATGGTCATCCTCTTCTCCATATTCAGGAATAAAGGCATTCCTGTTCCAGCAATGGAAATTAAGTGCAGAAGGTAAGCAGGACTTACACCTTAGAAGGTGTGTGCTTCATGAGAAGGGAAAGTGATAAAGAAACCAAGCGCTGCAGAGTGAGTCCGAGGGAGCAGCTCTCTCTCTACCTTGCCCAGGGAGTCCCATGTGGAACACTCTGGAAGGCTGGAACAAGGGTCCCAGATTGTAGAAAGAATAAAAGCACCAGACCAGACTTCTCCCCACATTCCTAGCTTTGTACAGGTTCGATTTTATTGTGTGATGCTGGAGTAAAAAATCACAAGTACAGATTGGTCTCTTTGCCTGTGCACACACAGAGAGAGCATGTGAGGATAGCAAGGAGATGGCTGAAGACAAGCCAGAAAGAGAAATCTCACCAGAAACTATGATGACACCTTGAAAATGGTCTTCTAGCTCCAGAATTGTGAGAAAATGTATCTCTGTTGTTTAAGCCACCAATATATGGGATTTTGTTGTGACAGCTGCAGCTGACTAATAGATAGAGTGAAGCAAATGTTGACAGGGTCAATCTAACTATCCCTAATGCTGAACTCAGTTTTTTTGTCCTAGT